GTATAGCTGCTGACACGATGACTGCTGGATCTTGGGAGCGTACGATTTTCAAATTTGGAGGATATGCAGCATACCACGATCATGTCCTGGCCTCGTTGGGCTTGAAGTGCCCCTATTCGCTGCCATCCTGTCTTTCCTTGAGTGGCTTCCTAGATTCGGGCGAGGGCATGTACGTGGAGCTATTGATGTGTGCCTCTGTGGAAGGATATGGCGAGAGATTCATGGTGGCATTTGCATTTAGAGCAGTGTACATTTTTCGAGTTTTGGCCGTTCCAGGGACCTGATATTACCCGCTGGCACTGCTGTGACGTCTTTGCATTGGTCACCGGGTAGCGCGGTCGATGCGAATAATAAATACACACCTACCTATTGACTTGCCAACACCTGGCGTGGAGGGATACAGGGCAACGACTCCATGGCATGCCACGACACCATCATTTGCAAGTGATCAATCAATGGTCAGGACGCCTGTACACCCAAAAGGTTTCAGTGAAACGAGACGAGGGGGTTTGGAGACCCGACATATTCCTACTTTGCACCGTGACACGGGGACGGACAAGAGATAGCATGCGCCTTACGTGCTACGGACAGACGGATGGACGGACGGAGTTTGATAGAATGCAAACTGTGTGTGCCGGACCGACAGACGGGAGAGAAATGTAGTATGCATGCACCATATCATAAGTGCACCGTATCAAACGTGCAGCGGGCGGATGGAAGGACATGTGCTTGCAGTGCGTGTAACATCGGGTCGGCGTCAGAGCATCATCCTTCGTAAGCCCCGAAGAAATATGCTGGTAAATCTAAGTTTCACTTGGTGTAGACGTGTAGACTACTCATGTTCCAAGAGGAAGTGCGGAGAGGGGTGTCGATTGCCAAGGACGGCTCCGCAGGTCTTGCTGGCAAATGCCACACGAGGGAAGATGCACACCTGAACGCCGTGAAAGGAATTATATATTTTGTTCTTTTCTTCACGGCGTGGAACCGCCATGTGCTCACTGGTCTCTTCCTCTCTTCCTTTATATGTGGTAGTACTCAACGCATCCCTGCCGTTGTTTGCTGTCAACGTTGCTGTGTTTGCTCGCTGTTTTCTTGTCCACGTTGCAGCTTCCCGCACGCTCTCCATGGTGCACTCGTTTAGGCTGCACAGCTACTATGCCCCCACTTTTTGCGACGTCTGCTCGCAGCTGCTCATCGGGATAATGCAGCAAGGGTTGCAGTGAGTGTGCGGTTTCATATGAGAAGCAGTATTAAGTGTTGCTGAGGTTCGTATATTGCGTGGGCTGTGCGCCACCCGTTGGTTCAATGTTTCGAGCAACTTCTGGGTCACATACGTAGATCCTCTCGCGTTCGGTATGACGGGGACGTAGATTGACAAGCTAGGTTTGTTTGCCTCTTTGATCGGCTTTGCAGCACCAATTTTCGGGTGCTACCCAATCTCGGCCAGGGATCCTCGCCTCGTTGTCATCTCGCTGGCCGCGGTACTCCGCTGTCAGGGATCGGCAGCATTTTCAACCTCTTTGCAAACGCCAAGCCAAACTCGCGACTATTGGAGCCAAAACCAAAGCATTTGACTAGTTAGTCAGCGGCTGACTAGGCTGACTAATCTGATTGTTTGATTCGACTTCTGTAAAGGTTTGTCGTGTGGTCCGAATGACCCGCTGACTGGTCTAGTGGTGTGATGTCGGCTTCTATGCGACGTACGGTACCCCAAAGGAAAGTGCACAGCACGATACATATGCTGATACCCTTCTAACCCTTGTCCGCGTCCTCCCCCTCCTCCCCCCCCCCCCCTTTCCATACGAAAGGTGCGCTGTGTGTGGAATGAACATTCACCCCGAGTGTCAAGCCACGCCCTGCTCCGACGCCCACTGCTGCCGCCCGCCCGAATCCGTTCAAATCTCGGCCGGGGTTGACGGCTCTCGGAACATGGGGGTACGTCTGAAGCCGGGGTACCCTGGTGGGAAAAACGGGGTGTTCGGCGGGGGCAAGAGCGGTGGTGCTTCCGATGCTCCTGTGGAGGACCCGCTGAACAGCGATTGGCACCAGCAGCTGGTAAGTTTTTGTAGACAAGTTTTATGTCATTCCTGATGCTGTTCTTATTTGCTTCTGCCCCACGTTTTCCTTGCGTGACTGCACTGGCCGGTGAACGGCTGCTCCGTGTTGTTCTCATCTCCCTGCCGTCTATTCCCGTATATGGTATGCACTATCCCGCTGTCAAGGTGCAAAACAACCAGCTGTGGGTGCCAGACTCGGTGGCCGCGGGTTGCATGGTCTGTTCCCGCCCGTTCAACCTCGTTCTCCGAAGGCACCACTGCCGTCGGTGCGGGACTTGCATGTGCGGTTTTTGCTCCCACACGGCTGTGAGCGACAAGGTGCGTTATCGAAGAGTCTCCAAGCTTTTCTTTGTGTTTTCTGCATACGGCATATGACTCGACCTTGTGGTCTCGTTTTGCGATGTCTGTGTGTGAGGCTGTGTTGACACCAGGTCAATCGTGTCCAATTGCGCCACATGAGTGTGGTAGGCAGTTTCCGACCAAACTTCGCCATCGGATCCGTTTGCCACGTGACACAGCCGACTGTTGATGCTGTTGGTGCTCTATGGCTGCGTTGTTGCTCGCGCACAAGTCACGAACGTTTAGCAGGAGCGGGCGGAACGACATGGTCTTGCTGACGACTTGTCATGCATACTGTACATATACATAGTGGAAGAGAGTGTATTGCGTCGTGTGTTGGCACGGGCGGTCTCTTGACTGCGCACTATTGGCGTTGGGACCCCCCTAGGTTTATCGCTAACCGCTGCTTGTCGACTCGTCTCGACTTTGTGCCGCACCCAGGTCCTTTCCGTGAACCAGACAACCGGTGCAGTGATACGGTTGTCTTCCGGGGAACCCGTCCGCTGCTGCACCCCATGTACGCGCGTCCTCGACCAGCAGCTCGCGAATGCTTTGCAGGTCCGTGGGTGCAGGGTAGTAGTGGTACTCTTGGTACTCTTGGTACTCTTGGTACTCTTGGTACTCTTGGTACTCTTGATACTCTTGATACTCTTGATACTCTTGATATTTCATACCGTAGTCGTAAGACCGTTGACCTCGCAGTCTACCAACCGGGGACAGAGCACGCCCGGCTTCCACCGGACCCGGACTGAACTGCTTTGCACCAAACCCCGTGCGGTGTTCATCGAGTTGATATCGTGTTTCTCTCCCCTGGTAAAGGATTGCATGTCCGAATGGCTTGACTTATTTGCTACGAAACGCCTCGTTTGTGTGTGTGTTGAAACTTCACACACGTAGTACAGTCATCCCCATTTCTGCGGGACCAAGGTTCTCAACTCTCCACCCGCTCACAATGAGTAATACCAAACGCACAACCCCTCCCCGGCAACCTGGTTTTCTGGTTTCATGCAGTGAGTGGCGTGTTTTACGGCGTCGTTGCCAATCCGACGCCAACCCAAAATGCGGGTGTGTGTGTGTGGGTGGGACCGAGGAAGGTGAAGCCGGCGGATCCCTCTTTGGTACTAAATTGTTACCCTACGATATCTACAATCCAGTCGGCGTTTCCCAGTGAAGGAGGAGAGACACCGGTCTTGCTTCTGTCCACTCTTGTAAGTTTTTAGGACACTTATGGGTCGCCCATCTTTGTCTGTACCGCGGCATTGTCTTGGTTTTTGACCTTCCTCTCCCCCCCCCCCCCCCCCCCCCCCCCCCCCCCCCCCCCCCCCCCCCCCCCCCCCCCCCNTATCCTTCATTGACCACCCACCACCAGCGAAAAGGGTGGGGTGCTAGGCATGGCACGCCGGCCGCCATTGATGCAATTCGCAAGAGGTTTCCGGGCCCGTCATCGTCATCAACTCCTTTCGTCGCCGCCGGAGGGGCAGGCTATGTTGCCACGCTGCCGATATTGTCGGCTGCTGCAAAGGAGGGCTACGACGGCGGCGGTTTCGTGCCCCCCCCATCCACATCCCGCTCGAATGCCGAGGAGGAGGAATACGAGGGGCAGGAGGAGCAGGCAGGCATGGGTGGTTCGGGTGGCAACGGCAACTATCATGGCGGTGGACATGGGAGAGGCTATGATAGTGAGAGCCCTGTCCGCCGTATGAAGCACGGCGTTGAAGACCCACTCGCCAGCGCGCAGGAGCATTCGCCTCCACCCCCGCCGCGTCGATGGCAAGAGCCACAACCAACCGCTGGAGAAGTTCCATCTTGGCTGGGCAAGAGCTCGTTGGGCTCTTCCCGACTCCCGGCGGCAACACCGAAAAGTGCTGTCACTACGAGCGCCGGCAGGGCGCCGCTCCCCGATGCGGAACAATACTACGAGGAGGGTCTCGAGGAAGAGGGTGGGGTGTGGGGCGAAGAGAGCGCCGGCATGGAAGAAACGACAGACTGGTCCAACTCCGGGGCTGTGGTGTAGTCTTTCTCAAGTCCAACTGGAGTCCCTGTCAAAATCGATGCGTGCCGATTTGCTGACGGAAGGTTGGGTGGGGTAGGGGTTTGGGACGGTGGTGTTGGTGTCATGGCACGACTCTGTTGTCGCTTTGCGTTGTGGGTGTATTGGTAGCTTGGGTGGTGTTGGTGTAGGAAAGGTCGTGGTGGTGGTTACAAGGAGCGCTGCAGTGGTTTTCGAAAAGGAGGAAGTTGTGCTGATATCCGTGTGATTTCTTCCAGACGAGAATCGCAAAATTTGTCCCTGTTTGAAACGCTTCGACAACGCAGGACTTTCGAAGCATGGACCACAATCTGCTTCGTGGAAGTTTGATAGATAAAATGCCGATCACTTAAAGAATGGCGCGTAGGGAAGGGAGTTCTGTTGGTGAACGGAATAAGAGAGGGTTGGAGACGTTAGAATTTTGTCCTTCTCCCAGAGGGTAAAAAATCGTTGAAACTGCTTTGCTTGCTATGACATGCTTTGGTTCCTCTAGAATCCTGTCAAGCATAGCAACAGGATTGGCTACGGCAGCCTTTACTAGCTGAATCGTTAAGCATTCAAGAGTCTGCTCAATACCCTTTGTCATTGACAACGGTACCCCGTGTAAACGGAAGATCCCCACACTCCAGACCTTGTACATCCTCGAGAGATCACCATTGCTCACCAAAGCCGTAACGCTGCACAACAAGTGATGACTATGGATATCACGTGTCCCTCCAACGTCACTGCCGTGATCCAACCAACCGCCCAATTACCCCCCCGCCCCGATAACTACCGTCAATCGATTATACGGCCTTTGACGAAGGAGGTCGAATGGTTACGCAGACAACTATGTGAGTTGTTTCCGGTGGTGCCGCTTTGTTCGGTAGTCTTCATGTCCCTCTCTTCACCTTGGCGACTCTTTTTGGGGGAAACAGGGAATAATCGATCGCGTTCATTTCTCAGTAATTTGGGGGCCTGCAGCTGGAGCGGATCCGTGCCGGATTCGTCCGCCTTGTGAGGTATCTCCGATATCACTCTTGTATCATCATCTCAGTTTTTGAATCACTTTCAGAAAGTGGATGGAATTGGATGGATGAGGCCTTCCGTCCTTACACAAAAACCTACCCACTTCGTTCGGCATCCTCCGTAAAAGCCTACCAATTGTATCCACCACAAGCCATAACCTCGATCCTCACATGTCAAACTGTTTAAGCGGTCCGTTTACCACACCGACACAAGCTTCAAACGAGTCCTTCCGAAAAAACGGCAGCTTCAGCTACATGAATCTTGATTTGTTGGCTTCCCTCTCCCGGTTGCCCGATGCCATGAAAGAAATGAAGCCGGAAGAGGTTACCATGTCATGCCACCGACTCCAACTGCTATATCTCTCCACTGCACGGTCCGAAAAAGAAAAAGCAGACCCTACTGCTGCACGAGGAAAACAACCGACCATAACCGGGGGGATTCGGGCCGAACGTGTGCCACGTAGTGTGCAAATCTTCGCCGTTACGCCTGTTCCCGGCTGTCGTCAAAATTCCACAGCCGGCTCCATTAATTGAAGCACTTGGGGGGAAATCACCGAGCCGCACAAAATTGAAATTGTCCACTCACCAAAGCCACCTTGTGTGGTGGAAAAAAAGACAAAAACTTCCCATACAAAACAAGAAAAAAACAGCGAACGACGGAGAAAAAATCTAAGCCAATGCATCGACTGAAACCGTGTACCGACAATGGCCTCCACCGGTTCGGCCTGTCTTCATGGTGCCTTGAAGAAGTTTACTGCAGCACTCCATGAAGTCTCACTTGAAACAAATGATCCTCTCAACAATTTGTGGCGTGCCCAAAACAAAGACAAACATCGATCCTCTCAACAATTTGCAGTCGTGCCCAAAACAAAGACAAATATCGAAGTTCGTCCAATACCGTGGTCACAGGAGGTCCAGCTGGATAGATACAATGATGACGAAACACGAACGATTCCAATTTGATTGGGAAGGGAGGCGGCGCACATCGGTCTGTCTTCAAAATCGATCCAATCAACAACAGGATCGCTACTTTTTTGCGGCTGCTGCCTCCGCTCCCCCATTTGCCGCGGCCGCCCCTGCCGCCTTCTTTTCCGCCTTCTTCTTGGCAAGAAGTTGAGTCTTGACGAACTTGAAGCGCTCGACGCACTGTTTCTTGCTCTTGCCGGGGACCGCGGCGGAGATGGAAGCCCACCTCTCGTTCTTATCCATGCCCATCGGGAAGCGGGCCAGCGCGGTCTCGAGCTGCTGCTGCTGGGCTTGGCTCCACACGTCCTCCTGTTTCGGAGAGTGTTTTGGGTATCCAACAGTTTGTTCGGTTTATTTCTTCATTTTTGTCCATGACTTGAAGGATCCACGTTCACCAGAAGACACGTAGACACAACTTGATGGAACCGTTCCAGCACGCAAGCATTCGCAACGCTACCACGCAAATGCAGAACCTGTGCCACGCATTACCACGACGCAAACACGAAGGTGCTCACCCTAGGTTCTCGGCGAGAGGGTCGCTCCGGCGCAGACCTGGCGTTTGCCGAAGAGGAAGCAGCCGCCACCGCTGGAGCCACGACCTTCTGAGGCCCTGCAGGAGCAGCATGTAGCTGCTGGTACTTGGCGATGCAGTCCTCCTTGCTGAAGGGATCCTTGGCCCGCGTCGCCTGAGCGATGAACTGCGAGATGTGCTCCCAACCTACGCCGACAGACACGCCCGTCGACATAAGAACGTGTTATGCCCTACTCTTGACCGCAGTCTTGATCGACGACGGGTTTTATGTACAAGGGCTATTAATAGTTTGACCCACGTGTTACCCATGTTGATACTACACTTGAGCTGGATGCGCGCTATGGATCACGAGTGCAACAAATCAGACCTTCCGCGACAATCCTTCCAGCCCCGACTTTGAGCGCGGCCCATCACGAAGAGTATTCTACATCCATGGAACAAACCCAACAGATGAACACGCAGTAAGCAGCTGGGCAAAACACAACAAACTCACGGTTTTGAGACCCTGCGGGGAACTTGACGATGGCTTTTGCAAGGGACGACAGCTCGTTTTCTTCCCATGCCCGCTTGCGTGACTCACGGTCAGACCCCATCTTGAGTTGCGCCGCAACCAGCGCCTGAAGAAAATGGAATGCCGTGATTATGCAGGAGCAAAAAACGAGAGGAAAAGACCGACGTTTCATTCGTGATTTACGGCGCCTGCTACTAGTACCCATTTGCACGATACTGTTAGGCAGGAAGATCGTTTGTCAACCCTTGGCTCGCCATAGTCAGTAAGTACACTGCGAAATTACTCCACGTCTCAAAACAAGGACAACTGTTCATCCCTAAAGGCAGAGGAGCTGAAATTGGAAGCGGCTGAGACCAAAATGATTTCTTCGTGTTACCACGTCAATCCTGTCGGTTTGAATCTAGGAACGCTTGAAACGTACACTGGTTTCTGTCGACAGTGCCAGCATTCCTACCTGCTCGTGTTGTGGTTGATGTTCGCCCAACACGTAGGAATCTACTTAGTGTATATCTTCATCATCTTACCTCTCTGTCCGCCCTCTGCTTGGCCTCCGCTGCCTCTTCTTCCTCCTTCAACTCCGCTTTTCTCCGCTCCATCAGCATCTTCATCACGTCCAACCCTTCGACCTTGATGTCCTGCAATGCAAATCAAGCACCCACGCATACACAACAATTAGTGTACGCTACAAGGTGTGCGGGGAGACAGCGACAGCTTTCGGGATGGTGGTTTACTGGAATGGAGAAGCGACAAAAGTTGGAGTGCGCTTTGCATCTCTCTCGCAAATCGCGAAAAGTTCCCATTCCAAATAGCATGCCTAGCGATCACGTCCAAGTACTCAAGGACGCACGTGCGGGGCCATGCCGCTGATTCCACTTGTACAACTGAAAATAAAACTTTAAAGGAAGAGGCTCTACTGGCACGCGACAACGACCATCGCGATAACTCTTGCTTGTGAAAGAGGCAAGAGGTCAACAGTCGTCGCCGGATCCTACACAGGTGTGACGCCAGCATTCCCGAAAGTGGGTGATGAAGCACGCCGAGTCACAAGGTCAAAGGCGAGAACGGCAGTGGACAACTTGCACAACGCTCTGACCCACAACCACAAGGCGGAACCATCGCGGCTACAATATCACGCATCAACGCGTCATGTTTTACTATCATTATTTCTGTTGCACCAAATCTTCTTGCCCACTCCTCAATCACCTCCTCTGTCCCCAAGGCCGCGATGGCGGCGTTTAGCTGGTCCAGCAACAGGTTCTCTTTCAACCACTCCATGTCCTCTTCGCCCACCGGTGTAATCCCCGCCTCCGAACCGGAACCGCCGATAGTCAGCTGCGCTACCGCCAGTGAGTACAGGTTTTTCATCACCTGTCGAGGGTGGAAATCCAAGCGGCATGGAGGGAGGGTGATCCGACATGTAGACACGTGCATGGCACCTGAACACCATATATAAAGGCCATATGGTGTTGGTACCCATGTGTCTTCCATCAGTTACTCAAACGATCAGCAGGAAACCGTTGGGACTTAAAAATCCATCTATCCCACCCCAAGGCGGTACCATTCATGCATCCATCCTGATAGCGAACCCCAAGAGCGGAGCAGATATTTTTTTCAGACCTTCTAACACACCTTCTTCCGCCTGCGCATCTCCTTCTTGTGAGCTTCTCTGCCCGCCTTCGCCTGCCTGGAAATGGCCCTTAGACGTTCCTCCTCCTCTTTCTTTCTCCTCTTCTCGTCCTCCACGGCCTGCATCTTAGCCTGCTCTCGCTCTCGCTTCTCGCGCTCCTTCAGTCCAGGCCGTCGTCATCGCATAAACACCCAGCATCAAAACGTCGTATCTTGGTAAGACGGTGCGATTTGCTACTAATTGGGGGCCCGCCCCGTTCCTGATTCGTCACATGCATGTACAAAAACACAACACTATTCGCGTAGGGTCGGAGACCTTGCGCTCCTCTGTTGGTTCATACTCCATACTTGTTCAGGAAGACCTATGAAACCATCCACGTGACACGCAACTTTTCGTTACACTTTTGGAGTCGGCCAAGCTCATCGGATCTTCGAAAAAATCAAGAGTCACCCCGAGAACGCTTGCAATCCAATCTTCGGATGAGAAGCGAGTGCTTTCAGTCCTCAAGAGTATCCAACACCTGCGGCATGCCCGTACTGACGCACACCCAAGAGAATAAGGCAAACGACGGCACAGGACAGGACATCACGCCTGTTACCGATAGAGGGACACCAAGCAGAGCGAGCCAGGGACATGCGCACACAATATGAAGGCAGAACAAATGCTACGGTGCGTAGGATAACATTGGGGGCGTCGGGACGTTGTTGTACTCGGTCGTGTGGAGTCAGTCAAACGGTACCTTGTTTTCCTTGGCCGCAACCTTGGCTTCCCTCTCTCTAACTCGCTCTCGGATGATGCGAGGGTCGACCGCCCTGAAAAGAACACAAACGCAGCCGAGACAAAAACACGCACGCGACGAGAAAAACAAGGTCCACAATAATCGAAACAAAGTTCTCAGACACCAGGTAAACGTAGGACGCCGGCGCCATGAGTCACCACACTATAATAGAATATTCAGTGACCCGTCGCAGTAATGTGTAAGACACACAGAAGTCCAATTCAACCCGCCAGCGAAGGTAAGAGTGGTTATAATGTTGTAATGCCATCCAACGCAGACACCAAGTAGAATGAATACTACGGCGTGCACATTACTGCGACACATCTATGACCGCCGCCAGTTTCTATCAATCTGTTGTGTACTGTCTATGCTTCGCCCCCCTTTCGTACCTAGCTCTGTCCACCAGGAGCGCCAGGCGCTTCACCTCCTTCCGCTTGAGCTCCTAATATGTCATTTGCACACACACGAAAGCACGGGCAGTCAGTTGAGAGGAAAAAAACAGCCCGTCAGTTCAAGGGAAACTCCCGGATAACACGGCATCAACATATGCAGTGCGTCCAATGAATTCGACGTGCGCAAGTGGCGTCAAGATGGCTGTGCACACGAGCCGCCAACGTGGCATGCTTCATCTACAGAGATAGCCCTTTTTATTGCACTCCACCCGACTCCCGGCACAGAATGACTGACGTCATGCGTTGCAGTAGGAAGATGGCACCCCATCCGCGCGATGTGAGAGATGTTTTCCACCTACACACCTTGGACTTGCGGTCGTTCTCCTTGATCATCCAGCGCTTCTCGTAACGGTCATGCGCATCCTCAACATCGTGCTCCCCCTCAAGCGAGAAATCCCTCCAGCTCTCGAAGTTCACCCAATATTCGTAGAAGTTGTTCACCTATGTTGTGTTTTCGTCAGAGGAAAGTTAACAAAATGCTGAGGATGGGACATCACCAAACACAAAACCAAATGCTGACAAAACAAGATTCGAGCGATGGCAGTTGTACCGATCCACCGCATGACAACGTACAATGGATGCAGTTGCACTGGCAAGGCAACACACAGGGCGCGGCCCTGTTGAACGAAGGGACGGCCATTCGTTGTTCTGCCTGCCCTCCCTCCTATAATCCGCCCACCCGCCTCTCTGCACATGGCCGACCATCAGCATCAGTAGACAATTTTTCAATTTACTCTTTTCGGACCTCCTCGAGAGCGGCACAAAAAATTACTAACTATCGCTTGTTCTCCCCCCGGTGCTTCACACACCCACCACTCACGCCCCGTTTTTCACCCTCAAAACACACAACCCAACCCCCCCCCTCAAAACATGCCTTCGTACCTCATCGATGGGGGTGTCATCGTCCCCGAGGCTCGGTGCCGGCAGGATCACGGCGAAACGCTTGTTTCGCTCGAAGACCGGCCCGTACACCTTATAGAAGCTCGTTGGTCCGCTGACTTCCTTCCCTTCCAGCTCATCTGTGAACACGAAGAAGCACAGCAAGGACAAGTACATGAGAACAAAACGCACGATCATGAAATGGTAACAAATATTCGAGCCAGACACGAGACAAACACATAGTACGGAGTTGCGTGGTAGGCAAGACGACCGGAGAACGGGTGTCAAGAGGGACGTCGAAGAAAGGAGCAACCAGATGATGCGCCGCAACCCACAGCAACAGGGAATGTGGATGCACCAGCACGCGTTGAAAGAGAGAAAATCAGGGACATCAGGACAAGCTAGATATCGCATCCAGCCGAGCTCGACTTCCTACCTGTAGCGAACAAAACACAAGAAAGAGCTCATCGACAAACACGATATCGTACTCGATCATGTTCACTTGCCTGGGATACTGTCGTCGAACTCGAGCGAGGAGTCGTACGCGCGGCGCTTGGTCATGTCCGTCAACGTGTCGAACGCCTTCTGTACCGCCATGAACACCTGGCGATCAATGTTTCAGTTCGTTTCCACACAAACAAGATGCCCATCACGCCAAGACATTCGTAAACAACACCAGTCGTGTGAGACGAAGCCCGGAAGGATAGAGGGGTCGAAAGGCAGCGAGAAAAAAAACGGCTGTACGTGATACTTGAACGGATGAGATCCAAAACCTGAGCAAGACACGGCGAACCGAGAACCATCTGAGAAAAAACTTCGGGACGCAAGATGACGCTTAACAGCGATAGGCACCGAAATTGTGGGGTGCGGCAAATTGAAAACATAGACAGGCAACACGTTGTGATTCAACTAGTTGCAATCCATGCCACGTAGAACCAGAGAACAGAGAACAGAGAACAGAGAACCAGAGAACAGAGAACCGTCTCCACGAAGAAAAAAACGCCAGACATACAAGTAGCGGAAACCCCACCTCATCCTCTTCCCCGTCCTGCACCCCTGTCTTGTCGGGGTGGTACTTGAGCACGGCCTTACGGTAAGCCTTCTTCAGCCCCTCGTCACCAACGCCGTTGCCGTACTTCTCGAAGCCCAGGATTTCGTAGTGTGTCAGCTCCCGGACAAGCTCGGGCGTGAGATCGTCCCGAAGGAGGAAGTCCACCTCTTCGCTAACCTCCTGCAAGACGTTGGGGGGAGGGTCATGGGTAGGCGGGAGGGGTACATGAGACAGGTTTGAGATTTGCTTCGGCAACGCAGCGAGTTTCACAGTAGGGCTTTCTTAATTACTTGTATAGAGGAGGAGGGCTGTTATGGAAGTGAGACAGCATGACCGCATGGTGCGTGTTTTCGTCCTATTTATTATGGCGACGGTCCCCCCATTGCTCGTGGTGAGACGTGTACTACACTTTTCAGCGTATGTAGAGTACTACACCTTTTCAGTGTATTTTTTCGTACAACTACAACCATCCAGGGTCACACAGGAGGGGGTAAACACCAATGCTTTTTTCTTCTTTTTACATTCCCTTTCATGCCCCACCTTCCTCCTGCGGTGCGTGCTGAATTTTATTTTTATCGCGAGAAGGGTCCAGCCGTCCCTTTCCCTCGTCAACGGTGCTAACGTCGAAGTTTGGACTCACGAGAGCTTTTTAGCTATGCTTCGCTTTCACCCGCAAATTTCGTAAATTCTTCACCCCTCTCCCTTCTTCCCCTCGCTCCTCGACAAGCTTTTGCTTAGACATGGGTTGTAGCGAAGGGGGGGGTCTTTCTGGCGAGCAGGGCTAGACTCACCCTCAAGGGATGACCGAAACCTTCTTGCTGCTGCGCATATCCGCCGCGAGGCATGCGCGTGGTGGTGTAGTTGGGTCGGCACTGATGGGGTCAGGCGAAAAAATGTAGATGCGCGGGCCTCTGGCCGTCGGCGTAGGCAGCGATGCCCATCTCATTTTTTGTGCGCGGAGGCAGACACCGTCAGAAGGTGGACGGGAACTATGTACACGGCCCTAGGTTGGCTAGAGGGCGCTGCATTGCCTCAGTAACCTGGCTTCGCCATCAAAGGAGGAGGGAGCAGGTGGCGACGAGCTGAACTGGGCTGGTTGACCCCTTCGGCGCGAGAATTTTTATTTTTCAGACCAAGAACCTTGAGTGCAACGAGGGAGAAAGCGAGGAACCGACTGGGAAGGACAGCAACGAGAGCGTGTACGGACGGAGCAGGTCGAGTGGCGTTATGCTCGGGCTGACTACAGCGGCGCCGGACGGAGCAGCGGCACCGGAGCATGCGGGCGACATCGACCCGTGGCGCACGGACAAACATTTATATCTGATCTGTGTTGTCAATTTTTCTCGTTTTTTTCCTGATTTTCGGTGTTGGTTCTATGTGATGACGTCGTCACTGGTTTTGTAGAGAGACCCGTCAGAGATGGCGTGGCTAACCCGGGTGCCTTGGTTATGTGCCTGATCGTGGAAGACCCCTTCAATGTGGAACGATTCTTAGCTATTGTCGATATTTTCACTGCGTGCCTAACACAGACGATCGGGAGAGGTTCGGGTGATTGTCCATTGCAATCATGGCTTTGGTTGGTTGTTCTTTTTCACTGTACGGCCGCAGACACATTCTGACAGCACTTCAGACAGCAGCTTTGTGCCCCGCCAGCTGCTTGTTCCATGCCTACCATGGTGTTTTTGTACAGACAGCACTTCAGACAGCATTATGCTGTAGTCGGCAATCTTCCGTTTTGGTATAGAGTGGGACAGGGAGGGGGTGATGCTACTGTAGTCGAACGGTGGGACGGACGTGCAGTTCAGTTTTTGGGCACGCATACGGTGCTGCAGGGATTTTTAGGTGTACCTCTTCGGGCTCTTGCATACCTTTTTCTCGTCAGATGTGTGCGTGTTCTTTAGATCCTCAGATGGCTCTAGCACTTTCGTGACCACGGGCTGAGAGTCTTTTGCTAGATTTTGGCATTTAGCAACTGACATACGGTTTAATGTGAAGACAAACAACAACAACAATGGGGATTCGAACTCACGACCTCTGCGACTAGTGGATTACGAGGATACCACTAGACCACCGGGGCCACCGGGGGACATGGTGCGGTGAAGTGAAACGACATTGCAACGATATGGCTTTCAGTGGCTAGGCCTGTCTGCCGCGCTGCCCTATGCATACAACGGGGGACGGACGCCTTCAGCACGACAACTACTGCTCTAGAACTACTGCTGTAGAACGTTCCGTATGAGCGATTCACCTTCACAAACCGCTGCAAACTTCAATCGCACAGCTATGTTAACAGCAACCAGCTCGAACGAACCCATTGCTTGGAAAACATTGTGTACGTACCAATGGCCAAGATGTTACTGCCGTACAGACTTGTTCGGTGCCCCGTCCGCGCTTGCTCGTAGCGAGGGTGCTTTGTGCGTCGCCGGCGGACAAAATACTCCGATTCAAAAGTGCACGTCTCAGATGACAACAGAGCAAACGAGGTGTCGGGAGCTAGCAACACAACGACTTGAGCAGGCCCCCACGCTCGATTACATCTATACGACTGCTCACTGCGGTGAGTTGAACGCACTACACCCCAGTGTTGAGCCTGTCGTCAACGCTTCACAGCATCACAGATGAGGACATCCACACACACAGATTCGACTCAAAACTGAGCGCACCCATGCCAGAGGGATAACCGCTGAACGCTAGCCACCATCTCTCTCGACGCTTCCCCCTACGTCAATGTGGGAAGAGCAGATTGTCTGTCCGACTGCTGGACCGGTGTCCCAAGCAAGCGTGTGCGTACGTACCAGGACGTTGCCGAGTGGCCACCGACACGAGGAAAGTAAAAGTTTCAAAAAGCACGATGACGATGCTTCTGTCTTTCTCCACCGTTCAAAATACTACCAGTGCAGACTTCCTGATCAGACCTTCGCCACACCATCGAATCGCCCAACAGGGAACAACTTTACCCAACATACCTCTTCGTCGACTTCGTCGTCCACGGTGAAGGCGCTTACGTTCCCCAGCTGCTTGTTGTCGATTGCCCGTGCGCGCTGCAAGAATGACCAGTAGCTGCGGCCGCACGTCTCCACTTCAATCGTCTCCTCGCTCCACGTCAGGGACGCTACTTTCTGGGCAGTCCCACCATCTGCGGCAGAAGAAAGCACGGCCATGGTGTAGACGACGATTTTCTTGAGGAGTTGATGAAAGGAGGTGCACTCGACCTCGTGCCTGCAGCCACTGCCAAAAGCGAGCAGAAGACCGATACCCGAGACCCCGAGAGGGACTTGAAAAAAGCTGGGCGCAGGAGGGGTAGGGGGTAGGGGGGGGGCATAATATATTCATGGTATAATCAGGAAATATTACCGTTTACCGTGTTCCAGTATAAAAAATGGGAATTACCGCCCATCCAAATCGTCTGGTCTGTCACCGCTCACGTCGTTCACCGCTCGCTTTCTCTCTTCCGTCAGCAACCAGCAAGGGCTACTGGTACTGCTTCCGGACAGGCCAGCTCACGAAGACGCACGATGAACCCTAACAAGAGACCGCCACCATCCTCTTCGACAGGGACGTTCGAGGGAGGCGATGCTACGAAGCGAGCGCGCGATCATCCCGACAAGATCCTTCGGCCTGGGCAGGAGCAGCCTGGAAACGTGCTCTTGGTCCGAGTTACAGACATCGTCCATCCGGTGAGATACTTACGAGGAAGAGAGGGGGAACGTGACTCAAGACGATTGTGTGCACGCATGCCGATCGAAGGGGCAATGTCCGTACTTCTTTTTCGCAGGAATAAGCTATTGGTTGAGAACACGGTGTTTGCTAACATACCCACAGCAGTATTCCTAGAAAAAAAACCGGGCGTGCCGAGGGTCCTCCAACTTGCCCCAAAACCGATGTACGGCAGGTATAACTGCGGTTTGGTGTCGCGTTGACCACATCCATGGCATCTTGGCACTCGCTTTGTCCGTTTTTTATCTGCGGAGCGTATGAAGTTCAGCAGCAGACTACTGTTCAGTCGGTGTGTACCTTTTGCCAATGGCTTACAAGTACGACGACACTCAAGATTGCCGCATCTTTTGCAGAAACACGATCTCTCTCTGTCTTGGTCGTTCCTGCTGCGGTTGCGCTTCCTCCTGTTCCTTCCTTCTCCACTCTCCACCCCTGTTCCTCCTCTTTCGCAGGTGACCATCCTTGCACTTCAGCAGATTTTTTCCAGGTTCGGGAAGGTGGATAAGATTGTCATGTTCGACAAGGGCTCCGGCTCACAAGCATTGGTGCAGATGGCCAATGTTCACTCGGCTATGAGCGCGCACGAAGCCGCGGACATGCAGGTCTGCAACTCATGAGAAATTAGAAACGGATGCGGTTTTTGTGGATGTTGCCGGTCGCGTACCCCCTGACCTCAAGATGTTTCGCTTCATTTGAGCAGACAGGGGTTGGTTTCTTTTGGTGGTACAGGTGGCAAGTACAATGAAGTGATGAGCCGTTGCGCAATATCAACGTGCTTTCTGCTAAGGTAACCCATGGCATGTTCTATCGCCCCCGATCTTACTCACCATGGTCGTATGCATAACTTTTTATGGGTCCAGAAAATATCGCGTCCGCTCATTGGGAGAAGCTGTACAGCCTAGAGGGATGAAGGCTTACTTGGCTTCAGTATGGAAAGTGTCCCCAAATGCACTGGAGACAGTTTCCATGCTGAAGCCAAGTGAGCAATTTTTTCCAGTACTATTTAGTCCATGTATTATGTACAGCAGTTTTACCAACAAAGGGACCCGGGGCTTGGGAGACTGTGCACAGCAAGTCAGAGACCCAGGAGAGGCACACAGGCATCACACAGCAGAATGTCACACAGCTTACTACCTCGTACAAGCATGTTAGAGCAAGGTTTCCCACGCACGTTTCTCGCAGCGGAGCATAGTGACGACCACGGTGCGGTAAACAGGTATTTGAGTGTCCCCAAAGTGTCCTCATTTGGGCTTCCAGTAGTAGGAGGGTTGAGGGGTTCCACTGTTACAAACGTACGACATCAATAGTGTGCTCCGATTCAAACCACACCCCTGCATTGTTGAAGAGAGGTAAGAAGCAACAGGTTACGAAAGCAAGACGGCAGTAAACGAAATGAAACTCCAGCACAAGTACACACAACGAAGATTCAGTATCAAGTAAGAACGAGGTTCGTGGTAGAGCGCGGCAGGTTGTTGATTTTGCAAAAGTTGGGAATATGAATTATGAATTTGCCAAAGGCACTCGTGCTGCCAGCACTACCGCAGTCGGAGTGTTTCCTACGTTGGTGTTGTTCATGTCACTGGGTAATCTCCTGCGGTTGCGCCAGTCACAGAAATGCCGACCCAACCGTTGCAGCAGCTGTGGTTGGAGGTCGCATGCTCTGTTGCGGGGCACATGGACCGCCTCCAGTGTCGATATCCGGCCAGGCAAAAGACGATCATACCCAGCCATCGACCAGGCGCGTCCCAACCATAGTCGTCGTTGTGTGTCGCGCATCGTGCACAGCTGGGCGTGCGACGTATGTCGCGCAGTCACACGTGTTCTGCAACACATGTCGTGTACTGTGATGAGACATGTTGGAGTTGTCGCAAGACCAGTTCGCCTGGAGAGGAGCAAAGCACACCCCTGAAGTGCATATATATCCGTTGGGGTTCTGCCTGGTCGGATAAGGTCTCTGTGCTGCACTTAGTGCACGGGAATTGCTCTCCCAGAATATGCACAGCATTTTCTCGGTTGGGGTGCGGGTGCTCGGTAAGTTTTGATTGCGTGAACTTTCAACGGTTGATGGTGCCCCCATCCTGCCCTACGGTCGCCCTATTGCGATCCATGATCCATGGCCTACTATTTCACCGCGACGGCAGAACGTTGGAACTGCACGTGCTTTTCTAGACAGCAGTGACAGTTAAGTGCGGAATCCGAGTGCCGTGGAGGACTGCTGTTGTGAACATGTCCTCGTCCCTTCTTGTGGCCAACAACCCCTTCTCTACCTTTGCATCGACGCACCTCTCTCACAGGAAATGTACTCTGGGTGCAATCTCATCCGCGTGGGCTACAGTAACCTCCAGAACGTGACCGTCAAGGGAAACACGGAGCGATCGTGGGATTTCAACATTGGCCCTCCTCTTGAGGGCTCTCTGCCCCCGGGTGTAACCCCTGCTCCTACCGCTGCGCCTGGCGTCGGTGCCGACGGGTATCGCGGCGCCCCTGCTGCATCGGCGTCCCCTGTCACCCAAGGACCCCCAACCCCCCCGTCGTCAACCTCCCACCGACACACCCCTCAGCAGAGTTACTCCTCCCAGCAGTACTCGCCCTATTCCGCTGCACAGCAGCCCCAGGCAACCCCGTACGCCCCCCCCGCCCAGCAGCACCAGACATACACCCCCCCTCAGCAACCTTATGGCGCACCCTCGGCGCCGTCGACGTATTCCCCCCAACATCAGCAGCAGCAGCAGCACCAACAGCAGCCATACGGTAACGTCATCCCGAGCGGCGGTGGTGGATCATACACCTCCCCTTCATACATTCAGCAGGGTTACGCTCCCCCTTACGGCCAAACGTCCACTCCTCCGTTTTCACAGCAACCCTATAACCCCCAGCCCTATGGGCAACATGGGTACAGCAGTCGAGGCGGGGCGCGCGGCGGTAGTAGTGATGACAACGGCGGCGCCAGCGGTAGCAACGGCATCGCGGCGGCAGGTAGCGGAAGCTACTCCCGCCCCCCGCCTCCCCACGCTTCAACGAATTACTACACCTCTCCCGCCAACAACGTCATGCCCCAACCCCAGAGCGGTCCGTACGGTAGCATTCCTTTCTCCTCCGAGAGGAGCCCTGGCGGTTTCGGATCGATGGGCATGGGTGGCGGCCTTGGTGGTGGTGTTGGCGGCGGCGGCGGCGGCGGCGGCGGTGGCGGGGCAAGGGCGATTCCCTACTCTGGACGACCCGGCCGGGGGGGCGGGACGGGCGGCCCGGGCGGCCCGGGCGCTGGCGGCCTTGGTGGCGGAAGCGGAGGAGGTCAAGGGAGAGCGGCTGCGGGGCGGGGCCCACCGTTGGGTTCTGGCGGCGGCGGTGGCGGCGGCGGCGGCGGCGGCGGCGGAAGTGGGCTATTGCAGGCACCCATGCACCGGCAAGGCCCCATGTTCCCGCACGACAATGGGAACTACCGATCTCAGATGAGGTAGGGTGAAGCGGTTATACGTTTTCAGAGCTTTGCCAATTGGTGCGACCCAACCCAGGGATGGGTCTTGTCGGATGTGTTTAGGTTGAAGAACTATGCATAGCGGGTCGGATTGGGTTGCGTCGCTAAGTTCCCGTCAGGCCCAGAGAACGTGCCATGTTTGGAGTGGGGGTGTGAGGTCAAAACCGGTTTCGCGAATCTATCACAACGGCTTGTAGTGAATCAGCCCGGGCAAGGTGAGATAATTCTAGCGTTTCATGCGGCGGGTCGGGTCGTGACCCGTGGATTACGACTCGTGTACGAGTGAGGTACACCAAGCATCTCGCAGGTTGTGCCGGAGCTCCGGAAGGTTTGATATTTCGCTTCTTTTTTTTTTGCCGCCACCGCCGAAAGGAGCAAAATAGAACTTGGTTTTAACCCTATGTTATTAGTAGAACCTGCGGTCTGATCGACGGTTGTAAAGCGAGGATTAGGTGTATAGTTGTGGACAGGGCGAGAGCATATTCGCTAGATTGTGGTAGTTGGCCACGGTGTAACAAAGCTTGGGTTAGGTTTGCTTGCCCTGTATGCCTGTCTCCCTGTGCTTGTGCTAGCCCCCCGTATCATAGAGAAGTGCCTAGAGTTCTGCGGTCTCAGCGTTCGGCGACCCCCAGTGTATGGCGAGACACACACCCCACCTCACGTCTACGGCTACGGCACTACCTATCATGGGCCATGATTCCCTCGCCTTACCGTGACCTCGGCGTGCACCCTCTCAACCCCCCCTCCCCAACCCCCACCCGCTCTTCAACGAGCGTGGCACCCCTTTTGGTATCCCCAAAGAGCTTCGATTCGATGGCGAAAGCCCCCCCCCCCAGTCGCTGCCCCCCCCACCCCCCACCCCGTCCTG